TGAATCCTCAAAGAGTGGGTTCTTGGGCTGGGCTCTTGGTGGCTCAGTCCCCGGGGTGTGTGCCTGGGCCGCCACCTTCTGCTGCAGGTGCTCTTGGTGGCCGTGACCCTAGAGGGACATGGGGTGAGGTGCTGAATCAAACCGCCCCTGCATGCGGCACTGTAATCAGAACTGTTCTCTCCTCTTGCTCTGCCTGCCGCCCTGTCTGCTGCCGGCCCCTGTCTGCAACCACCCACTCGCTGCGTGGCAGAAGTCCTCCAGCTCCGCGTCCTCCGAGGCCTCGGAAACATGCCAGTCTGTTAGCGAGTGCAGCTCCCCCACCTCGGTCAGTGCCCCCAGCCCCGTCCCAGGAAAATCACCAGCTGTTCAAGCTGTGCCCTCCCAACGTGGGGCCAGCACCCCAGAGAGGCCCAGGTTCAGCCAGAGGACCCCCCAGCCACTCCCTTCACAGCCACATCTCTCCCTCCTGGGGCTCCCTGCTCTGCCCCTGGGCCTGGTGGGGCAGCAGCCATACCCACCCTCCAGGCTCTGGCCTGGGCCTTTGCGCTGAGGGCCCCTCACAGATCTGGACAACTTGAGCCTCAACCCCAGTGAAGGGCCCCATTGGCTGTGGGCAGCAAGGCCATGAGTCCCCCTGACCTGCCTGCCACACCCTGCAGGACTGGACCAAGGCTGGCCCCCACGAGCAGCCCTCAGGCGCCACGCTGCAGCGGAGGAAGGACCGAGTGGAGCTTCTCCGAGACAATGAGCCAGGCCCCGCTAGTGGAGGCACCCTGGGCCCCAGTGGAGAAGAGGTGCCACGACCTCGGATGTCCCCTGCCACCATCGCAGCCAAGGTAGGCGGGCAGCTGCCCAGGCGGCCTAGCCAGGACCCCCTGAACTCCCAGCTCAATGCCAGGAGGCCCAGCAGGGGGTCTCCAGGGCCAGCTTCAGCCGCCTCAGTGGGGCTGCCTGGAGTCCAGGCAGAGGGTAGAAAGGAAGAGAGACTTCAGTCTGCAATTTTACCTCCCCCAGCATGGCGAGGAGGTATCCCCTGCGGCCAGCGACCTGGCCATGGTGCTGACCCGCGGCCTGAGCCTGGAGCACCAGAAGAGCAGCAGGGATTCGCTGCAGTACTCGAGCGGCTACAGCACGCAGACCACCACGCCCTCGTGCTCCGAGGACACCATCCCCTCCCAAGGTGGGTCTGCGGGAGGCCATCCCTGGCCGAAAGTGTGTGTGAGGCCTTCACAGCCTGTGGCCCCACCCCACAGGGACAGCTGGGATTGGGCCGCACACGAGGGCCCCGTTCTTCCCTCTCCGTGTCCATCCTGGGTGGGCTGGGGCTCAGGGGACACCTGGACCCTAGGCTCACTGCATCTTGTGTCCCCAGGCTCCGACTATGACTGCTACTCTGTGAATGGGGACGCGGACAGCGAGGGCCCCCCCGAGTTTGACAAGTCGTCCACCATCCCGCGCAACAGCAACATCGCCCAGAACTACCGCCGCCTGATCCAGACCAAGCGCCCAGCCTCCACCGCGGGGCTGCCCACCGCCGGGCTGCCCACAGCCACGGGCCTGCCCTCCGGCGCCCCACCCGGCGTGGCCACCATCCGCCGCACACCCTCCACCAAGCCCACTGTACGCCGTGCTCTGTCTAGCGCCGGCCCCATCCCCATCCGGCCACCCATCGTCCCTGTGAAGACACCCACGGTACCCGACTCCCCTGGCTACGTGGGACCCACGCGGGCAGGCAGCGAGGAGTGTGTCTTCTACACGGATGAGGCCGCCTCGCCCCTGGCACCGGACCTCGCCAAGGCCTCCCCGAAGAGGCTCAGCCTGCCCAACACAGCCTGGGGCAGCCCGTCGCCGGAGGTGGCCAGCTACTCCACAGCGGGGGCCGGGCTGGCGGCTGAGGATGACGAGGAGCAGCAGCTGGCCGCCAACAGGCACAGCCTGGTGGAGAAGCTTGGGGAGCTGGTGGCAGGTGCCCACGCCCTGGGCGAGGGCCAGTTCCCCTTCCCCACCGGCCTGTCTGCCACCCCAGCAGAGGAGACGCCTACCCCACCCCCTGCTGCAACCAGCGACCCCCCAGCCGAAGACATGCTGGTGGCCATTCGACGCGGGGTCCGGCTCCGCAGGACCGTCACCAATGACAGGTCTGCGCCCCGCATCTTATGATGGCGCCACCCTCCCCACCCTGTCTGGCCCCAGCACAAGCAGGTGGCCTGGTCTGTGAGCAGCAGCCACTCAGCACAGGCACAGTCAGGAGAAAGAACAGCGCCAGGGACAAAGCAAAGCCACTTTATGGAAGAGACACCCAGGCTGGACCACAGCGTTTAATGGGATGTGACTTCTTTAACCAACCTCGCAGGACAGGTGGAGCCTGCAGGCCTCGAACTGGTTTTGGAGCCTGTTTTCTACTTCCCTTGCCCACTCTGTCCCTCCTCTCAGGCCCTGCCTTTTCCAAACCCCCAGAGCCCAGCCTGCCTCGTGCCAACCCTGGCCCACCTGGCCTGGGGTCCAGAGCTGCTCCCCAGAGTCACGGTGCCCTGGCTGACTCTTGAATGCCGGCCCTTCCTGTCCCTTCATGAGCCCCCTACACCTCTCCCCTCTACCTCTGCCTCTTCCAGGTCCCTCTCCACCTGGGTGGCAGGGTGGCTGTGGAGGGGCCAGTGTCCAATCAGCTGGGGTATCTTAATTTGTGGCTAGAATTAGGGGAGCAGGTTGGAGTTTGGAGACCAGGCCAACCCATGGGGAAGGGAGTCCAAGTGGAGTCACGGGGTGGAAGGACATGGAGTGGGCCTGCATGTGGAAGGCTCAGGGGACCCTCCCACCTCCTCTCCCATGTGAGGGGTGGCAGGAAGGGGACCCAGTAGGGCAGCAGGAAAAGGAAGGCAGAGGTCCTGGGGGTTGCCTGGCCAGCCACACAGGAGCTGCCTCAGATACCCCGTTCTCATCTGGCACATCAAGACTTAACTAGTGGCACTTTGGGGTCACAGTTGCAGCCTCCTTTGGGGTCGGGGGCTGGAGCAGTAGACGGTATAGAGGGTTATTTTATAAATATAATAAATTGGAGCTGACCCCAGACAAGGACTGTGTGGGGGGCGAGCTGGTGGTACAGGGTGTGTGTCTTCGAGTGCCTGAGAGGGGGAGGTCACAGGGTGGCCTGATGGGCCTATGGCAGGAGAAGGGCAGAATCAACTCCCCTGAAGCCGGGGGAAGCTGTTCTCTCCAGCGCCTCCAGTGTAGCCAAAATGAGCCTGGAGAGGGCAGGGCCAGGGTGTCTCTGGGCCTGTCTGCTGGGGTTTGAGGGAGCTACAGGCCTGGGGTGGGGGAGCAGGTGCAGGGTGATGGGCTGTGACTCTCTGTTGCCAGCGGAGATGCCATCCCAGGATGGCCCTGTGCAGGCCTGGGCCTGGGCTGGCAGCAGGGCTGGGCAGAGGAGTGGGGCACCCTCCTCTGTGAGGCCAAGTCTGAGCGGGTAAAAGCACGTGAGCCTAGGGCGAGTGGAGGGAATCAGGGTGGACTGTGGGTGGTAAAGAGAGCAGCAGAGCCCCAAGGGGGGCATCTCGCTGGGCGTCAGGAGAGCACTTTGCCTTGGTGTGGATGGAATGGTGTTGGGGCTGGTCCAGGCTTGAGCTCCTGGGAGTTCTTGGGCCGTGAACTGGGATCTCAGCAGGGTTGAACCCGTGTGAGTGAGTCCCGCTGGGCTCCCTGGGGACTGCTGGAGAAGGGTCCCTGCAGGTCCCTAGATCTGAGAACTGCCTGGTGGAGCCCATGACCCACCGAGCTCCCAGCCGTGGGAACCTAGAGAGCAGGTGATGAGTTTGGGGTCCCTGGGGTGGAATTTCTGCTGCACCTTCCCCACTCAGGGCTGCGTCGGGTTTGCCCAGGTGACCTGATGGGGTGGGAAGCAGCATGTGTGAGGGGACAGTCAGGAGCAGCAGGAGGGCAGGCATGGCCTCTGCGCCAGGAGTGTGGCTGGTCACAGGGGTCCCCGGAGGAAGAGCTCACCGCCTCCTGGGGGCTCCACAGGCCCTGATGGGCAGTGGGGGCTGGGGCTTCCCAGGAGAAGGTGGGGGCCACTGCCTCCCCTCCCCTGAGCCCCCAGGGCTGTACATACTCCATCCCCTCGTCTGTTCCCTGACCACCCCCTGCTTCCCTCGTCATTTAGCAACCACCTCATAGCGCCCCCCTTTCCGGGATCCGAGCCAACAATCCCGCGTCATAAACTTTGGTTTGGGGGGGGCTTCTTTACATTTGTTTATTTTTCATTTTGTACAGAGAACTGTTCTTTTCAAAAGCGTCTTTTGACTGCAGTAACTTTTCTGGTGCTGTTAACTTGTTCCTTTTTTTAATTTATTTTCCCTCCCCAAGGCCCCCCCACCCCGTTCCTGTTCACCCTTCCCCCACACACACCCCTCGCCACCCCTTCATCCCCCCTGAACCGTCTCGTTCCTTTTCTTTCCGTTGGCTTTTGGATAAATCCTCCTCTCCTCCTGCCCCCTCCACTCCATCCGCCCCTTGATTTAAATAGTCACTGCTACAAGTAACAAATGCACTGTGAGGATCCAGTATTAATAAAGTCGTACTGTAATTAACACCCCTGCCTCTGCCTGGGTTCCCTGGGCTGCAGCGGCTCACCTGCCTTCCCCTCCTGCCCCTGCACCCTGACCTAGGTCACCCCAGGCCCCAGGGGCTGCGAGCCACGTGGGTCTCCCTGAGGCAGGGGCAGGAATGGCCTGGGATCTTGGAGGTGCCTCACTCTGCCCCTGCTGGGAGCAGCCCAAGGGAAGGAAGAAGGAAAGATGGCCCAGCAGACACTCCTCAGGGCCACCAAGGCGCCACAGGCTAGGAAAGGGCTGGAAGGAAGTCCGTCCTCAGCTGTCCCCGGGTAAGGCTTCGCCCACTCCAGATGCAGCCCTCCCCCGGAGCCTGGTTGGCCCAGCCCTCCTCCACCTCCTGCACTAGGCCGGCCCCCAGCCCCTCAGGCTCACTCTCCCAGATGAAAACAAAACCAAACAAAATGGGTATTTAATAGAAAAAAAAGGATCTGGAAGAGCATCCACTGTGGCAAGATGTGGCATGTGGCTCTGCCCTTGGACAGCCCTCCCCATCAGTCCAGTTGGAAAGCCTCTGTGTGAGTCCCAGAGTCCCACGTGGGCCCCGTCCCTGCCCAGGGATGCGCTGGCTGCTGTGGCCCCAGGAGACTGCAGCACCACCTGCAGGCAGGGGAGGCCACGAGGGTGGCACCAGGTCTCCCTGACCCCCAGCCCTCCAAGTGAGAGCAAGTAAGGTATGAAAGGTGGGAAGCTGAGCCCAACGGTGGCACAGAATCCCCCAGAGGGGAAAAACACCTTCCCCCAGGGCCTCTCTCAAGGCGGGGACCCCCATCACACAGCAAAGTCTCGGGCCTAGTCCAGCTCCCGGAAGTCCTCAGGTGTCCCCACCCAGGGTCAGCACACAGGCCGATCAGGGCAAGGGGCCCTCGCCCTGGGCCCTGACCTGGGGTCCAGTGCTTGAGCCAGGGGAGTGGGACAGGGAGGTGGGGGTCTGCTGGGGAGGGGGGTACAGCTGGGTGGCCTCACACTGCAAGGCATGGGGCTGAGGACTTGGCACCTCGCACTCCTGCCATTTCAGGATGGAGCTGTGTTTACCTGTAAGGGACAGAAAAGAAAAAGAGGGAAATTGCAGGACACATCAAGACCTCCCTCCCCTCAAGCTAAGGGCCCATCTGTGTTTGCAAAAGTGAACTATCACTTGGAGCACAGGGCATGCCCGGGAGTGTGCCAACTCTTCCTGCTGACCCCAACGCAGATGCTTGGCCTCTCGTCCCTCAGCCCCACGCACAGGGAGCTCCTTACAGCAAGAGCAGTACAGCAGCTCCATGACCCGGAAGCAGTTGTCCATCAGGGCTTTGGGCCGCACCAGCTTCAGGCTCCGACCCGGCACATTCAGGAGGGACAACACCTCTTCCACCTTGGGGCTGATCTCCACATCCTGGAGGGAGGAACCGGTCAGAACCATGACAGATGGGGACACACTGAACAAGAGAACCGTGGGGGCTACCTGACTTGGTGCCACCCCAAGTCACGAAAGGCAGGCAAGACTTTCTGGGACCAGGAACCTGTGCGTTATATCTCACCTTCTTCCCGCAAATACAGAGAGGGTCCCAGCTCTCACCTCTATACAAGCACAACACAGAGGCTCCTGTTTCTCCATCATGGGAAAAACGAACACAGGGCCCAGGCCAGGACAGGGAGGAAGGAAGCCGCTGTTCTAGACCATGCCTGGCTGCCCGCCCCCAAGCTGGGAAAGCTGCCCTCCATCAACTGTAAGAACAAGAGAAAGCCCTCACGGGAGACACGGAGGTGAAAGTCATAGACAGGGCCGGGTGTCAGACTCCAAACTCAGCTTGCCTTCATGAGGCTTAACAAAAGGGAACACGCAGGCAACATGATGGGTAGCCGAAGTCCCTGAAGAGGGACCACAGCCATTGTGGAGGCATCTAGGAAAATGTGGGGCCTGAGCTGGGGGCAGCAGCGGCCCACACAAAAACTCTGAACTGCATTATGTCTCCCAGCACCCCATATCCCAGTCCTTCCCTCAGTACCTGTGACTGTGACTCTTTCTAAATGGGGATATAATTGAGGATCTGGAAGAAGGACATCATCCCAGATTTGGGGAGGGCTCTAGATCCAGTGACAGGTGTCCACATGAGAGAAAGATCACAGAGACAGGTGATCACATGGCAGAGGCCACCGAAGACTGAGATAGAGGTTGGGTAATGTGGCTGGAAGCAAGAGAAGACCCTCCCTAGAGCCTTCAGAGGGAGTGTCGCCCTGCCGACACCTTGATCTGGGACTTCCGGCCTCCAGAACTATGAAAGAATAAATTTCTGTTTTAAGGCATTCGTTTTGTACTAATTTGTTACAGCAGTCCTGGAAAACTGATATACAGAGGTGGGGTGAGAATGAATCTGGGGAGAACCCAGCCACCTAGTAGATGTATCCCCTTGCCCTGGTGAGAGTACAGAGCCCCAGGAGCCACTGGGCCATCTAGAGAAGCTCAAAGTTGAGGACAGATGGACAGATGTCACCTTCCTAAAGCCTCTTATAGGAAAAGAGTCCAGAAGGTCTTCAAAAAGCTACACCTAGAGACACAAGTTGACTCCCAGGTGTAAACCCCAAAGAATTGAAAAGACTCAGACCCATGTTGTACACCCATGTTCACAGAAGCATTATTCATAAGAGCCAAAAGGTAGAAACAGCCCAAGACAAATGGAGGCACAGATATAATATCTGCACAAAATGGGATATCATTCAGCCATGAAAAGGAAGGGTCTGCTATGACATGGATGGACTTTGAAAACATTATGCAGCCAGCTGTGGTGACACATGCCTGTAGTCCCAGCAATTTGGGAGGCTGAGGCAGAAGGATCTGAAGTTCAAAGCCCAGTCTCAGCAATTTAGGGAGACCCTCAGCAAACTAGTGAGAACATGTCTCAAAATTTAAAAAAAAAATAAAATGGGCTGGGAATGTGGCTTAGTGGTAAAGTGCCCCCAGATTCAATCCCAGTACTGGGGTGCGGGGAGAAAGTAGGAAAGAAACAATTCAGAGCCGGGGGTGGGGGTAGGCCATGCCTGAAATCCCAGCAGCTTCAGAAGCTGAGGCAGGAGGATTGTGAGTTCAAAGCCAGCCTCAGCAATTTAGCGACACACTAAGCAACTCAGTGAGACCCTGTCTCTAAATAAAATATGAAAAAGGGCTGGGGGTGTGGCTCAGTGGTTGAGTGCTCCTGGGTTCAATCCCCAGGTCTAAAAAAAAAAAAAAACAATGTAGAAACCAGACTCCAGGTACCTCCAAGTAGAGAAGGAGGTAGAATAGAATCAGCTTTACAGCCAGATACAATTTCAGGTTCCTCCCAATCCCTCTTCTTTGCAGGTGATGAATCTAAAGTCCAGAGGTGAACAACCTGTTCAAGGCTGCTGGTGGCCCACCCCCAGATGGGATCTCCAAATTACAGGACCACTGGGAGTTTTAAAAGCTAAGAAAATCTGAAAGGTGGTTTTCCCTAAGTCCATCTTAAAGGCAAGGTCCTAGCCGACCAGCAGAGTTGGAGAAAAGAGAGACTGAAAATCTGGCTGCAGGGATGGGTGGATTTTAATCAGGAGAGGCCAAGGAAGGTGGGCGGGGCTGAGGGTCCATCAGCCTCCAATCAGAAATGCTTCCCAGGAAAAATGAGGGCAGGAGGGGTCTCTTCCCCAGGTCAGCTCATCTTGCCCGAGGACACCCATCTGGCCCATGGGCACAAAACAGCCACCAAGGAAATCGCTGGACCTCCTGACCTCCTTCCAGCCCTGTCCCAGGACCGGTTCCAGACAGCTGCAAAAACAATGGCTGGTCCCTAGCCCTTTCATCGTTGGAAGCTCACAGTTGGTGTGGGATGTTCTGGCCCTGGACAGGGCCTCCTGGGCAGATGAGACCAGGCAGCTGGCTGAGTGGGATGGCAGGTGCATCCTTAGGGGCAGGTGTGCTCTGGGGCCTGAGGGATCCCAGGCACACGCACGGCCTGTGTGGTTCCATGATGATCCCCTGGCCTCCCTCTTTCAGATGGCTCATGCATTATAGAGGACATCCCCCTGAGGCCTCAACCCTGCCGAGCCAGAAGGAGTCTCTTTTTTTTTAAATTAATTTTCTTAATTAACTCAAATCGTGGCCCATTAGGACTCCCGTTCTGCGTGGCACAGTTCTGTGGGTTGACAAATGCATGATGTCACACACCCACCATCAGTGAATTACCCAGAACAGTTTCTTCACCCTAAAAATCTCCTGCACTCCACCTTTTCTTCCTTCCTACACTCCCAAAAAAGCCTCATTTCTCAGACTCAGAGATAGAGAATCCCATGGCCTGTCCGGGATCCACAGCAAGAGAAGCAGGGCCTGGAACAGGGTCTCCACACCTCTTCCTTCCTCGAACTTCTTTTCCTGTATGCCTCCCCCATCCCTCCCACACCCCACTCCTCAATGTGCCGGAACTTTCCCCTGGCTCCACAGCCCTTGACCCCACCTCTCGGACACACACGCTCACACACGCAGGCCCAGCTCACCGGGAGGCCCTGTTTGATGTTGAGCAGCAGTGTCTGAACCTCCTGCATGTACTTCCAGGACGGGTGGCCCTCAAGCAGCACGTCCTGCACCGACTCGGTGGCACTGAGACTCACCAAGACCCACAGATACCGCTGCTCCTGCTCGCTCACCTGCGCCTTCTGCTGCAGGGACAGGAGAAAACTCTGGAACCCCCCATTGTGGGCTGCTCCACTGTGACCCTTTTCCAAGGACTTGTCCCTGCATGAAACTGACCACCGGGGTCTACAGTGGACATCGGGCAACCTCGGGCCTGGGTCAAGGGTGGGCTCACTTGAGGGACTGATGAAAGGCCCCTGGACCTGCCAAGACCAAAGTGCCTCTCAGGCTGGGGTCCACAGGGGATCGCAGGTGGTGGGGGTCTCCGCAGCCCAGGAAGGGATCCTCACCAGCCTGGTGATGTTGGCGATCCTGAGCACCCCCTCGTAAGGCACGCCGATCCTGTAGTTGATGGGGAAGTAGTGTTTCTGGAGAGGGACGAACCAGGAGGTCAGAGGCAGAAACTGCACAGACAGGCTGCCCCAGCCCAGGTGCATGCCAGCGCCAGGGAGGCCCGCACCAGAGGGCCCCCTGCCGTCACAGGAGTCCTCTGAAGAGGACACATCCCTGCTCCCAACAGCACTAACACCAGCTCACTTTCCTCTGGGACGCAGGGAGAGTGAAACTAAATACATAGTTCCTGCTCAAGCAGAAGTTCTGGGCTCAGTGTAAGGACCTCCTACTTCAAGAAAGACATGTATCTTCGGGGTGAGAGGGATGTTCTACAACTTGCTGTGGTGGTGGTCGCCCAACTCTGTGAACACACTAAAAACCAAGGGAGTTATACCCTCCAAATGAGTGAATGGTAGGGCACGTCAACATTGCCTTCATAAGCTCTTTTTAAAAACAGAGTGGGCATCTCCACTCCCCCAAAAGAACCAAACATCCCAATTGGCAAGTCTTTGTCTCCCCTGCTAATAAGTGCTGGGAGGGGGGTTCCCCCTCCCGGATTCCATTCCTGAGTCCCAGGGGAAATGCCCTGTGGAGGGGGAATCAAAGGTCAGGAGGGGGGGAAGCCCTGGGAGATGGCGGGAGGAGGCGGGCAAAGACCCCAGACACGTTGGTTGTGTGTTAGAGAAGGGAGCCATGGCAACTCTGGGGCTGCCTCAGGTCCTAGGAGGGTCCCTGACTATCCAGAGCCCTGTGCCAGGTGCGCCATGGGGCTGGGGACAGGGGTGCTGGTGGTGCCCATGTGGTTACCATGTACTGAAGCCGGTTCCTGTACTGCAGCTTGTCCCGAAGGAAGCCCGTGACGGTGCACTCCTTATTCTGGGTCAAGGGCCACACCTCCAAACCCTCATTCCCCAAGGCCACACCAAGGAGGATCCCAAGATCTGTGGACCACAGCCAACAAGAGCACGTCAGCGCCAGGTACCACGTCCACACTGTCCCCAGGGTCCAGGTGTGCACAACTGTCATCCAAGAGGTGGTGGTGACAGGTGCACAGACCCTGTCACCTGAGGAGGACTTCCCACCCAGAACCCGCATGGTTTCCCTGGGTCTGGACCTCAGAAGAGCAAGGACAGGTAGGTGCAAGCAGTCCAGAAGGTGATCCACCTCCACCCCAACCCTGGCCAGCAGACCCCCCAGGAGGCACTTAATTAAGGCCAGTCCCCAACTCCTGCCCCATGGGGTAAGCCTAAACTTCCTTAGAGGGCAACCTCAGCCCCTTGTGTAGGGGTGACACGTTTTCAAAGCCCATCGCTGGATTTCCATTCAGATGTGGATTCCAGTTCCAACTCTAAAAATCACGTGACCCAAGCTACTTTTCCCCCTCCTCTATCTGACCTTGGCATCCCTCATCATTAAATGTACCAGTGGTCTCTGGCGTCTTCCATTTTGGTGACTCTGGGATCTCACTCAGGCTGTTAGCTACAATGATTTACCAACATTACCAGCCTTTACCACTAGGGGACACTGCAACCTCAAAAATAATAGCCTTTGTGATTTCTACCTAACTGAACAGACCCAATACCTGAGAGAATTTGCAATAAATAGGAGGGTAATTAGAGCAAAAAGAAAAAAGAACATAAAAGGGCAAGATGTATCCAAAAGTTCAACCTCACAAATAAAATAAACAATTAGATTACGGTGGCACACACCTGTAATGCCAGTGGCCTGGGGGGCTGAGGCAGGAGGATCACAAGTTCAAAGCCAGCCTCAGCAACTTAGGGAGGCCCTAAGGAAATCAGTGAGAACCTGTCTCTAAATAAAATATTAAAAGGGTTGGGGATGTGGCTCAGTGTTTAAGCTCCCCTGGGTTCAATCCCCAGTACAAAAAAAAAATAGATGCCATTTTTCATCCATCAAAATAGAAAAATGAATGGTAACACACACCTATGACAATCCTAGTGACTTGGGAGGCTGAGGCAGGAAGATTATAAGTTTGAGGCCAGCCTTGACAAATTAACCAGACCCTGTCTCAAAATATTAAATACATAAGGGCTGGGGGTGTAGCTCAGTAGGTAAGTCTGAAGCCTTGGGTTGGTTCCCAGCATCACAAAAAAAAAAGAAAAAGAAAAAGAAATGAAACAAAAAGATTTCTGTGTATTGATTTTCTTTTAATAATATTTGATGCTGCCAAAGTAGTGAAGAAGGTGCTCTCATCCTGAAAGCAATTTGGCAAATGGTATTATTAATGAATTCAATAAAGTCCACACCCTTTGACCCACTAAACTCAAAAATCAGAAGAACTAAAACAAGAAAAAGAGACATAGACCAAAAAGATTTATGGGCTGCAGTATTATTTTATAATAGTGAAAATCTGTAAACGACCAGGACATTCCACCATAATGAATGTTTCCAGTAAAAATCACATTGTTAAGGAATTATTATGATGTGTGATGAGAAAAATAAGATATGGATGGTGATGTTTTTGAAAAACATGACCCAACACTATCTGCATTCCCAGCAGGACTTGAATTTTATTTATACGTGTGTTTACAATTGTTTACATATGTGTTTGGAAAACGTGGTGGAAAGAAATGTACCAAATCTCTATGGGAGATTTTTGTGTTCTATATATTTTGTGGAACATTTTGCATGTTCTACAATCCATATCTATTATTATTAGAATCAGAAGCAAAAATTTCTCCCTCTCCTCCTGCGCTCCCCACTGTGAAGATAGCCAGGCTGAGTCACTGCCCTGACCCACCTGTTATGAGTAGGAATTACTGATTGGACTTTCCCCACTCACTTACTTCCTGGTACTTGGAAGACTTTTGTCCTTACATCCCCACTGGCCTGGGCCACTCTACCTGTTGGATCACTTCTCCCTCCTCCCTTTCCAGTCCCACCCTGCTGGGTCCTGCTCCAGGACTTTGCTCTTGTTGGACCCCTCACCAAGGGCACCTTCCCTCGGCTTGGCTCCTCAGGCCTGCTTATGGCCTGGGCCACATAGGGGTTGCAGTTGCCTCCCCTTCCCCTCCAGGAAAAGTTGCCAGTGTGAAGTAATCCAACCAGCGCGCTTGCTCTCTTCCATCTCCCTGACATGGTATTGGGCCAAAGCAAGAGCTAAATACAAACCTAGCCAGTGTTCATGCCTTTAGATAGCAGCTTGCTTTGTGTCTTGTCTCTTAAGTCCTAAAAGCCTCTCAGCCTTGCACTGACTCCTGAAGGTCAAGATCTTGTGTCCCAGTTTTTGCTCCTGCTCTGCCTTGCTCTAGAGATCCCCTCACACTGCAGATCTCTTTAAAAGTCTCCCTGGGCTTCTTACCCCACCCTAGGGTCTGCCCTGCCTATACCAGCCCCACCAGCCTCTGACTCCAGCACCACCTGCCTGATTCACTCACTCCCTGACCACAGCACTTCACCCTTGGTATGTGAATCACCAGTGCTGTGGTCTTGTTGACTGAGAGCCTTATGCCTAAGTTTGGGGATTGGTCTCCTGCAGTGGAAATGGGAGGGTGCATCTGAATCCCCTGGGGAGCCAGCCAAGGCAAGGAGAGCTCAGCAGCCTCCGCCCCAATCCAGCAGGCTTGGGGTGGGGCCAGAGAATTTGCCCTTGTAACCAGCCCTCAGGTGAGGCTTCGGCCTTTGATCTGGGCATGCACCTTAAGAACCATGGACCTAGAGCAACAGGTGCAGGGTGGTGGCCCAAGGACCACATCTAGCCCACAGGGATTGCCCGTTAAAATCCGTATTGCCACCTTTCCTTTAAAAAACAGTGTTTCTGCAGGGTAGAGTGGCACACTTTTGTAATCCCAGTCACTCAGGAGGCTGAGGCAAGAGGATTGCAAGTTTGAGGCCAGCCTGGAAAACTTAGTGAGACCCTGTTCCAAAATAAAAATAAAAAAGGCTGGAGGTACCAGTACCGCAATAAGAAAGAAAGAAAGAAATTAGTGTTTCTAGCCTGACATAGTGGCATCTACCTGAGATCCCAGCAGCTCAGGAGGCTGTAGCAGGAGGATCTCAAGTTCAAGGCCAGTCTGGGCAACTTAGTGAGGTCCTAAGCAACTTAGGAAGACCCTATCTCAAAATTAAAAAAAAAAAAAAGTGCGAGGGATGTGGCTCAGTGGTTAAGCGTCCCTGGGCTCAAATCCCAGTACCAAAATAGTGTTTCTGTCTACACTGCTTCTTCTTTCCCATGTGGCTGTCACTATGGGGAGTCCACTCCATTCCCAGGTCCTGCCCTGGAGCCTTCTGGCTCTGCTAACAGTGGCCTCAAAGCAGGGACTGGGTCTCAGAGGGCCACAGCAGCTCAGCCTGGCACAGCCGGGCACATGGGCCGCCCTGGAAACCTATCCGTGGACCACCTCCCTGCAGCCTGGGCAGCTTCTCCTTAGTCTTCAGGGAGCCCCATTTCTCATTTTAAACTTATTTTCTGTTGCCTCCACCCAGAGAAACAGGAAACCAAGCAGGGTTGGCACAGCCAAAACCTCAAGATCACTTGTCACCCCCACACTTTGTGCCCCAGGAACCACACAGCCAGGGTAGGCCTGACCCTGGTCAAGAGGCCCTTCTGCCTCCTCCTCCCCCCAGAGGTAAGGACCAGGGAGATAAGCAGAAGCTGAAGGAGATGGGTAGAAGGAGCTTTCTCCTGGCTCCCTGGCCTGGGAGGTGGCAGGGGAGTAGGGGTCCCTGACCCAATCTGAGCCTAGGCAATGGGTTGAGTAGCATTCCCCCCAAAATTCATATTCACCTGGAACCTCAGAATGTAACCTTATTTGGAAACAGCATCTTTAGAACTCATCCTGGATTTAGGGAAGGCCCCTGGTGTCCTGGTCAGAAGGAGAGGACACGGACACACCCAGAGGGAAAGTCCACGCGCAGACAGAGATGAACTGGAGTGAAGCTGCCACAGAGAGGGAGCCCCAGGGGCCCCCAGAAGCCAGAAGAGGCGGGAAGGCTCCTCCCTGAGTCCTCAGAGGTAGCATGGCCCTGCTGACATCCTCACTTCGGATTCTGGTCTCCAGAATTGTGAGAGAGTAACACTTGCTGCTGCCCGGTTTGTGGTCACATCACAGCATCCCAGCATCCCAGCCCCTCCACTGGGCAGCCGCTCCCCCTGCCCCTGCCTCCCCCCCCCCCCCCCCCCCCCCCCCCCCCCCCCCCCCGTCGTCACCACCCACCAGCCCCCACCACGCCCGAGATCTACAGTCGCTACCTGCTCCCCATAAGGCTGCAACAGTGACTCCAGATTCCTCAAAAGCAGGGGACTCCAACCGTGACCCCCTCTGCCACCTTCCAAGGCTCCGTGTGGTTTGGTGAAGTGGGTGCTCTTCACCTGGCTTTCAAGGCCAAGGCCACCTAGGCCCAAACCAGCTTTACGGCCCAGACTCTCCAGCCCCTCCACTGAGCTACTGCCTGGAACTCGGTCCTCACCACCCCGTCTGCCTTGTGGATGTCACCCAGCCTTCAAGACCACCTCAAGTGGCACCTCACCAAGCAGCTTCCTCTGCACCCCAAGACCTGGAAGCTTCCCTAACCTGGGGCCTGGCTGGGTCCTTCACCCATTCTGAATCTCCTGACGCTTTCCAGTGTCCCTCCGCCAGGAACAGGGTACACCCAGCTCTTCTCTGAACCCCTGTGGGCTCCAGCCCCTGCCCCCATTTATTTGGCACACAGTCCCTGGCCACCTAACTCTGAACTGGGTGACAGAGGCTGAGGGGCACAAAGCAAATGAGGTCCTGTTGTCATGGCAAGTCACTCTCCAGTGGGCTCGTGGGCGTCACCAGAGAAATGTGCCGAATCAGAGTGAGTGACGCTGAGCCTAGGGTCTGGAGGGCTCCGTCTGGCCTCCACCCACAGGCCTGAGCGTCCTCCAGGCCCTTCCTTTTCTTCTGTCCTCATTTCAACTTATTTTTTCTTTTTACCAACCGCACCGTTATCGGCCTGCCTTTTAATCTTGGTGTTATAGAGTGAGGGGCAGAGGAGGGCAAGCTGCCTTCTCCAGGTGCTGGACACACAAGTCCCATCTGTCTTGGGTCCCTGGTCCCCACCCCACCCCTGCTGGCCACACCCAGGGAGGACAGCCATCCTCTCTCCACACCCTCTGCCCCTGCCATGTTCCCTAGCACCCATGAGTCAGTCCATAGAGATGCTGCCACCCACCCCAGCGCCTGCCCCATCGTCTAGCCACTCACTGTGCCACCCAGTGCCCACCCTACCTGGGACTCCCGCCCAGCTTGCCTGCCTGAGCCTGGGGTCAGCGACAGGCAGGGTGGCTGTGGAGTCCCTGAGACTACCTGCAGCTAAGCTGGGAAGCATCTCAACTTCTCCCCAGCAGGGACGCGCTGTGGCTGAGCCCTCTCTGGGTCAAGGCCTCCCGGAGTGGGTCCCTGGGTACTCACAGCGCAGCCAGGTGAATCCCCGGGGCATGGTGGTGCACTGGCTTCCCCAAGAGCAGAGGTGCTGTCCCCAGCGGTGTGTCCACAGGAGCCTGAGCAGGACCTACATGGCCACGTGTCAGAAAAGGTGGCCACTGAGTCAGGAAAGGGCTGTCCCCAAAGGAGGTGCCAGGCAGCAGGGATCAGGCAGGTGCTCCTGGGGCAGCAGCCACCCTATCTGCCTGGCAGTGGGGAGGACAGCTGGGGGGCGGTGGCTGCTAGTCCCATGGCAGCCCAGGAGCTGGTGTGAGATAGCAGTCTCCCTCGGGGTCTTCCTTCCCGAAGAGGAGGAGGAGAGGAGGAGGAGGAGGAGGAGGGGGAGGAGAGTCCCCAGCAGGCCCCTTGGAATCTGGGGCTGGGTGGCGCTTTCTGGCGCTTTCTCTGATTCCTCCGACTGCAGCTGCTCAGTGTGAGATCCGGCTCTGGAAAAAGAAGGAGGAGAGAAAGTGATTATGTAAGAGCAGGGCTGCCACTCAGCCACAGGCAGGCACAGAAGACCCACCGCGAGCGCAGCACCGGCCCAAGCCACCGGGACTCCCTGCCCTGGGTCGCACACAAGAAACGACTTCAGGACTCCCGAGCAGCGGCCCCAGCCCAGGAGTGAGTTACGATGACACCAGCTGGCAGCCTTGGGCAGGAACAAAAGCAGACCTCAGAATGCATGGGCAGTGTGGGCCGGCCCCCAGGAGAGGGGGCTGCCCGGAGGAGGAGGTGAGACTCCTGGTGAAGCTGGGGGTGACCCGGCTGCAGGGGGGGCTGAAGAACACATGGCTCAAATCACCCTCCTCACCTTCTGACCGAGCCCCTCCTACATCACTCCCATCTCCTCCCCCTGCCCGGCAAAATTCGATTATCCAGTTAAATCTGAATATCAGATAAGCAAATACTTTTCCCAGTCTGATTGTGTCATGCACCATTTTTTAGCATGAGTATGTCCCAAATATTGCCTGGGACATACTTGTGTTAAAAAGTATTCATTGTTAGCCGGGTGTGGTGGCTCACACCTGTGATCCCAGAAACTCCCGGAGGATGGAGCAGGAGAATTGCCAAGTTTGAAGCCAGCCTCAGCAACTTAGGGAGGTTGTAAGCAACTTAGCAAGACTTTGTCTCAAAATCAAAATAATAAAAAGGGCTGGGAATGTGACTTAGTAGCTAAGCGCCCTTGGGTTCAATCCCTGGTACCAAAAAAAACCCCCACACAAAAAAAGTATTCACTATCTATCAAAAAAGAAAGTATTCACTATCTATCAGCAATTGCAATTTCAAATTAATTGGAAGTCATATATATGTGGTGTGGTGTGTGCGTAACTAGATTTGGCATCCCTATGATAACACCAGAGCCCTAGAGCTCTCTTCTTGAGAACTCACTGTGTGTGTGAGCTAGACCCAGAGCTAAGGACATTTTTCATCAAATCTTCAACACCACTTAATGAAACCATAAAATCTTATTTTACCAATGAGGAAATTGAGTTCCAGAAAGGTTAGGGCATTTCCCCAAGGCCACACAGCCTGTAGAAAGTGACAGGAATTCAAACCTGGCCCACTGGTAGTCATTCTCAGAACTCAGCACCCACAGCGTTCTCATAGAGTTACCTGTCCGTCCCTCACTGGGCTCCATAAGACATGGTCTGGGTCTCCATGTTGTAGATGAGGCTGAGGTGCCCAGTAGCTGGGCTGGCTCTCCAGTTCAGTCTCTGACCAGGTTCTATTCCATCCCCATGTTCTTCCCTGTTTCCCCTCTGGTCAGGGGAAAGGGCCACAGGGTGAGGGCTTGGGGGGGAAGATGGTATGATTCAGGGGTCTTTTCCACTGTGGCATCTATGGTGTCTCTACAGCATGGACCAGAAATGCTGGCCTTGGGTTGGGGCTGGGGCTCAGTAGGAAGCCCTGGCCTAGCAGGCACCAGGCCCTGGGGTCGATCCCCAGCCCTGAAGAAACAAACCAAAGAAAACAAAGAGCCAGCCCTTGCCCTTGTGGCTGCCCAACTGGGAGGACCGTCCTTTTGTAGAGCACGGACCCTCCACCCATCTCTCCCCTCCACCTCACCCTGGTGCTCTCCCTGCTATCACAGTGTCCCTGCCAACTAGACTTTCAGTTGACATTTTTCCAGGTTTATGGAGGTATGACTTACATCCGTAAAATCTGCCTTTTTTTAGTGTATGAGTTGAGAGAGAGAGAGAGAGAGAGAGAGAACGAGAGCGTGCACGCAGCGCCAGGGACTGAACCCAGGGTCTCACACATTCTAGACAAGCGCCCTACGCTGAGCTACACCCCCCAGCCCTTTTTCTTTTTTATTTTGAGACAGGGCCTCACTAAGTTGCCCAGTCCAGACTTACACTTTCAATCCTCCTGCCTCGGCCTCCTGTGTAGCTGGGATTACAGGCCTGCACCACGCACCCGGCTAAGAGTTTATAGCCACCACAGTCACAAAGTAGAAAACACTTCCATCCCTGCAGAAGCCCCTCCGACTGTCCTGCAGGGAGCCCTCCCACCTCAGCACTGGGCAGGGACCCATTTGTTTCCTGCAGGCACTTTTCCCACAGGATGTCACACAGTTACAGTTCTGGGGTGCGACCTTCTGCATGTCACTTCTCTCTTGTGGCATGCTGCACTTGGGGTTCTCTATGTTTTTGTTGTTGTTTTTTGGTACCAGGGATTGAGCCCAAGGGCACTTAACCACTAAGCCACACCCCCAGCCCTTTATATTTTTTATTTGGAGACAGGGTCTTGCTGAGTTGCTTAGGGCCTCACTAAGTTGCTGAGACTGGCTTTGAATTTGCGATCCTCCTGCCTCAGCCTCCCAAGTCACTGGGATTATACAGGTGTGTGCCACCGCGCCTGGCTGCCATGTTGTTACCCGCATTAGAAATCCTCTTTTGGGGGGCTGGGGTGGTGGCTCAGGGCTACCACTTGTGCTTGCCTAACATATGTGAGGCACTGGGTTCAATTCTCAGCACTACATATAAATTAAAAAAATAAAGATCCATTGACAATTAAAAAATATTTTTATAAAAGGAGGCTGGGGTTGTAGCTCAGTGGTAGAGCGCTTGCCTAGCACAGGTGAGGCACTGAGTTCAATTCCAGCACCACGTGAAAAAAAAAATGAATAAAATAAAGTTATAAAAATGTATATATTTTAAAATACATATATTTTTAAAAAGAGAAATCTCCTTTTTCCTTGCTGAGCAGTTTGTACATTGTGTAGCTGGATCACTGTTTGCTTCCCCTCCATGGAAGGGCATCTGGGTTATTCCCAGTTTTGGTGACAGGGAATAAGAGCCTCCGCATGCAGGTTTCTGTGTGGATGGCCGCGTCTGTCTCTCTTAGGTCTACCTGTCATTTCAAGTCGTGCACCACGGCCCTTCAGAACACCTGCAATCCGCGTGCCACTCAGGGGCCTGGGCCACTCATCACCTCTGAGCACCCCTCAGCTCTGCTGTGCCCAGGACGGTGGATCCCAGAGCCCAGACCTCCCCACACCCAGGCACTCACCACTATCAGGATTTGCCCTGTCCTTGTCCTGCAAACTCTTTGGGCAGACTCCCCACTCAGAAAGGCTCCAACGTGGAACCCTGCCTGCGTCCTGGCTGAGAAATCAAGCAAATGAGAAATGGAGCCATGGTCAGCTTCATGGCACAGCTGTATCAGCTCCTGAGTCTGAGCATCATCTGTTTTCCCACCCGTGTGCCCCCGGACATGGAGGGGGCGAGTGGGAGAGCCCAATGAGGCCACCAAGTAGGAGTTACGAATGACAGAAGCCAGACCCAGGCTGAGGGGCACAGCGGGAACCTAGGCCGCTGGGAGAGGCTGGAACAGGTATGGCCCAATGGCTTGGGGCTCCTCCCTGGCAAATGAGGCCTAACCAAGGGCCTGGGAGCTTGACTGTGGCCTTCCCCACACTTGGGAGGGCCCAAGCCTGCCCTTTGTCTCTCTGTCTCTTTCTTTTTCTTACTCTCTCTCCCTGTGTCCCTCCTTCCGTGTCTGTCTGTATGTCTCTCTCTCTCTCTCTCTGGGGTGGGGAGGGGAGTGGGTGAGGAGTTTGGAAACACTGCGCCTCTCCTACCCCTCCCCACTCTACCCCTGGGGCCTGTAGCATCATTCAGAAGCTCATGCAGGGAAAAGTTGTGCTCGAAAGTAAATGAGGACATAGTATTCTTCATAGTTCAGCCATGACGAGCATTTTCAAAGTTGCAGAAGCAAGTACAAAGTGAATATTCATTTCGCCCACTTATGACTTAAGGACGCTGGGAGAGCCGGGGTCAGAGAGAGGGAAGGTATGTGGGGAAGGAAGGGTGACAAGAACTAAATCTTCCATGGCAGAAAGTCAACAGATAAGGGCTCAGATGAAGAAGCAGTGGCGAAAGACTGCTTTCTAGAAGAAGGATAGATGATTGATAGATGACGATGATAGATGATTGATAGATAGATAGATAGATAGATAGATATTTTTTAAAGTTTCCTGTGTCTGGAAGCAGAAAGAGGCCTGCTGTTGTTTATAATCACACTGAACTATTTTATTCTTTTGCTTGGGGGGATTGTTTTTTTGTTTGTTTTTATTTGTTTGATTGATACTGAGGCTTGAACTTAGAGGTGCTTTCCCAGTGATCTGAATCCCCAGTCCTTTATTTATTACTTTTTAATTTTATTTTGAGACAGGATCTCACTAAGTTGCTTAGGGACTTGCTCAATTGCTCAGGCTGGCCTCAAACTTATGATCCTTCTGCTTCAGCCTCCTGAGTCACTAGGGCTACAGGCATGAGCCACTGGGCCCAGCTATTTCTTCTTTAATTCAGGTGCAGATATAACTTGGATTTAAATTTTTTTTTCAACTAAATTTAAAACAGTGAATTTCTGTGCTGGACCTGTGTTGTGAAGTCCAGCCAGGTTGGGCCACAAGGACCTGTTCACCTTGGGACATCATTGCCCGTTCTTTCCATAGCCACCTGCTTTGGTTCTTCTGTCCCCTGCCTGAGAACCAAGACCACCCCCAGAGAGGGAGCAGTGGAACCCCATGTGGAGTTGCGAGTTTAACTCTAAAGCCTAGTCCCCAACCCAGAAGAGAAGAGGACACACAGCCAGCGAGAGACCCCAAGTACCCATTCTATCGGCTGTGGGACACATCACTCCAAAATAAAGAGGCAGAAAACCATCTTTTTTTTTTCATGAACTATAGGTTGGCTGGAACTTAGCTGACCCAGGCTGGGCTCTGCTGGTCCAGGCTGGACTTGGGCTCTGCCCACAACTAATCTATTACACCCACCCAGAACATTCTTCTCTCAAAGAGGCCAGCCCTGGCCTAAGAGTCCTAGGGGACAGAGTATTGAGTCACTTGCCCAGTCTGACTACTTTCCTCTAAGTAGGACAGGGCCAAAAGGGCCTCCGAGTCATTCCAAACAGCCCCACATTCTAGAGATGAGCAAAT